AAAAAGAAAGAAAACTCCAAATTGCATGTGGGGTTTGTGTTTGTATTACATCTTTTTTTTTCTCCAGAACTGGGGATTGCACTCAGGCCCTTGCTCTTGCCAGGGAAGTGCTCATTCCACTGATCCATCTCCCCCGTGCTGTATTACATTTTTATGGAAAACTTCTGGCTTGGTATTGGATCTCTGGTTTGTAAGAGATTGTTCGAAGCAATTCCTTGCTAGTGGGTGGAGATCTGCAGAACTCCCTCTGTAAAAAGGGGAGAATGGAGCTACCTGGTGGGAGAGGGGAGTTAGAGGAAAGGGAAGAGGTGGGGTGCAGGAGGGACAGGGGGAGCAGGAGTCCTATCCATTAGCAGAGCCTTGTCTGGCTCATCTATGATTGGATCAGATCGCCCATTCATCTGAACTTGTGGGAGGCCCCCATTCAATCACCTTAAGTGGAATCTGATCGTTATCTTGGGATAAACATTCCAAATGGAAGGTGAGTGCTGGGAGATAAGGGTGATAAGGAAACCATATGGCCCTGTCACCCCAGCTCCCTGGGTCTTATTCCTGGAAGGATTAATGAGGCTGAAGAAGGATCATTAGAGTTCTGCTTCTTGAGGAGGCAGAAACGCCAAAGCCCTGCCTGGCTAGCCTAGAGAACTAGAACTCAGAGCCCAGTCCACCCCTCTGGCCTTTTCTGGACGCTCCCCACTCCCATCTCCCTCCACACCAAAGCCCTTAAGCCCCTAATCTCTGAATTGCACTCAGTATCCCCAACCTGACTGGGACTGGATCCCCACCTCCCCTGATGTGATAGTTTCCTGAGACTTCCCCACCTGTTGGGCCCCCTGTGGTGACTGACCTGTTGTGGCCACCAAAGTGCAATACAGTGGAGAGGTGTTTTCTAGACTTGGACAGAGGGGTTCCTGTGGGCTTTGGGGAACCAGGAGCCGCATGGTGAGTTGAAAACCCCAGGAGCAGAGGGCAGCAGGTAGAGTTCTAGGGAAAGAGATGGGAACTGGAGTGGAGTTGGGAAGTAGGGCTTTGGAGCACAGTCTCTCTTGCCCTGTGTCTCAGGCCCTCATCCTTCGTCCCCCTGGCCTTGCTGCTCCACACAGCCGTTCTGACCCTAGCTAGAGATGAGGAAGGCATTCAGTTTAGGTGTAAAGGGGACACTTGGAGCAGAGGGGTGGCTTCTGGGTGGTTTAAAACTAATCACAGGCCATAATAATGCTCAGAATAACCCATAGGGATTGAAGACTCCCTCTATGACTGCGCTTAGTTGTCTGACGGAATCCACACGAGCTCTATGGGCACACTCAGAGAGGCCAAGTAAGTTGCCCAAACTTGCACAGTTAGGAAGAGCGGACACCAGGAGGCAGACTCAAGGGGTAGAGCCATGGAACCCTAGGTTGTGCCCAGTGCCCAGTTCTTCCCATCAGTCTCCAGCAGCTGTGGCCAGTGACAAGCAGCCCGAAGTATATCGTCGGGACTCTGTGGCCCGCATTTCAGACAGCTCCAGTGTAGCGTAGGCCGCTACACTTGGCTGCCAACCAGGCCGCCAGAGCTGGTTCTCACACCTCCCTGGCTGGAACAACCCAAACATTGTTGGCCAGGAAGAGGCTCTCCCTCCTAATCCCATGCAGTCGGTCCATCTTAAGAGAGACAGAGGGGCACAGCTGGGGAGGGGGTGCCAACCCCCCGAGCTCAGGCCTCCCTGCCTCAGGCTCACCCTGCTGATGGCCTTGGTTTTGGGCTTCTCTGTTCTGAGCACATCGAAACATTTGGAGCAAAACAAGAAAGTGAACAATAGGTGCTTGTGGGCTAGCGAGCAGGGCAGCTGTCCCCCAGGACTCAGCACCATCAGAGACTTCCCCA